GGTAGTTAGTATATATATATATATATATATATATATATATATATATATATGGTTAGGACACATAAATATGCATATATACACATAAATGATACATATATATATATGCATATATGTGGGTTTGGAGTGCATATATGTGTGCATGTGTGACTGCACAACTCGAAAATCAAAACCAAGTCGCCTCCTAGCGCCTACGGCCAGACCCTCCAGAACACCTAGGCATTGTCCAATAGTTTTTTCAACAATATTTAGAATTGAAGAGGGGCAACCGAGAGAGTTCGTACAGTTTGTTGGATATAGCATATTCCCTTTCATACTTAAATCTTCTTCCAGGTGTTGATCTCCATAAAGATATTTATAGGTCTAATGCTTGACATCTGTGAAGCAATTGAATTCTGAGAGATAGACATGATATGAAGAATTTCAATTATGCTTCTCTCAACAGGTATGAATCATCGATGCAGTGAAAACTCACAATTGAAAGTTTTGAATCTAGCTTGGTATTAAGGACCTTGTAGTTGTCTCCATATCACACCAGAAAAGGAGAACATGGTCTTCAGGTGCCAGGGGATTTATGAAACTCCTAGAAACCTTCCAACGTCCAGAAAGGAGTCCTTCATGATGAGGCTGTAGTAGGTTTTGCAGATTGAATAAATGGAACTTTGTTTCAAGAAGGATTCCTTCGATAGTGATCCGGACAAAAAGAAAAAGAATAAGATAAAAACGAGATGATATTTTCTTTTTTTAACTCATATGCACATAATCAAATGCCTTGCTCATCCTACAACACAATTCTTCACATATAACCCAAAAAGAAGAAAGAATAGAGCTTTAAGCTCCTTAAAAAGGATAACTATGAATCATTTGCATAAGAAGACTATCACAACCCATGATCCGCAATAATTTCCATTTCGTTACCTAATGTTTGTAATCCTAAAAGACTAAAAGTATAATCATTTGCATAAAAGACTAAACACTCATGAGGAGCATTAATTCCCAATTCATTGCCTAATACCTGCAATGCTTTTATAACCTTGCAATAAACCCAATATTTTCACCCAAAAGAAGAAGAACAACAATAATAATGATACTAATCCAATTCACTGCGTCCAGACTATCGAAACAATATCAACCATGACATAAACGTAAATGAGTATGAGAGTACAAGCATATTGGAAGGAGAATTATCTTCAATTTGGAAAGAAAACAAACAGAAAAATGCTATCATTGGAACAAAATCAGAAAACAAAAAAGGAAACATTCAGAAAACAAAGACAAATCAATCAAAGATCGAGCAGAGAAAACATAACCAGTTTAAAAATGAAATATTCCATAAAATCAAATCACATAGTACATACTCTGGTATCAAGAGGATTGATCGAAACAGCGCAAGCACGAACAAGAACCTCACGAGGCTTGAGTTCAGGAACCTCCACATTATGGCGAACTTCAAGGACCTCAGGTCCACCAAACCTCGGCAATACTACAGCTCTACAAGTCGTAGAAATGTATCTGAGCCCAAGCTTGGCCTTCAAAACTGAAGTTGCAGAGCTCAAGGTTCTCCTTAGAGGCATTCTTTCTTGGGACAAATTCGATGCCCTAGAACCTGGTTCGCTCCCCAATTGCTGAGAGGTTAAACCCTAGGGGCGACATTAGTCATGCGCTTGTGCAAGTGCAGTGAAAGAATGAAATGGGCGTTGAGTTGTGATAAGAATGGTGGACACAGAGAACCGGCGGCTATGGTGGCAATGAGTTTTGACGGGAGTGTTCCCGGTGACAGCTGAAACACCGGCAACGGTTTTACGAGAAATCGACTTTAGAGAGAGCGAGAGAGAGCTTTGAAAAGCAAAATGGAGTGGGGCGTGCGAGTGCGAGTCCGACCCAAGGAACTACGGGTGAGACCAGGATGGGCCCGGGCGCTAATAGGCCAATGAGGCTTGTTAAAAGAAGTAAATTAGAAAAGAAAAATTTTCTTATAAGGCCGGGCATACTGGCCCGCGAATCCCAAAAACTTGGAATTGGGGACACATATCAGAGCAAAGGTTGATATAAACCCTAGGTTTTTGTTGAAATTATTATGGAAAAGTGTTCGGTGAGTCGGTTGACTCACACCTAGGGTTTGAGCTTGCTCAAAGGTTTCTATGGTTTCATGGCCATGAAGGCTGAGGTTTCCGGGTTTGAACTTCTTTCAAGGCTAGGGTTTTCTCTGGGATCCCCTGAATCTTTTTAGGATTTGTTAATCTCTTGAACTTCTATGATTTGCTCTGAACTTCTAGTTAGGCCTGAAAGAGGGTCCTTTTTATTGGTTGATTTACACAGCTTCATGCATTTTTAGATGATTCTAGATTCCTATTGCCATTAGAATCCTTTTATAAGGTTATCACTTCTAGTTGATTGGACTACAACCATGCCTATCTGATCCAGGCCTCAACTTTAGGTTTCGGGCTTTGTTTATTCAGGTATGCTATTTTTTTCAATTTTATTTGTTTTTTTTTTTTCATTATGGTTATCATTGATTTCAATTTAGTATAAATTGCTTTCAAAATCCATTTTAAATGGTTTTGGTGAATCCTTGATCAACGCAGTTGACAGATCCTAGGAAATGCACCTCGAGGTCCGCTTCCTGAAAAGTCCACAATTTGACATAACATCAACATTTAAAGGTTTTACAAAATTGATTTGGTTTAGGTGCAAATTGACTTTGATACTGCATATCAAAATCCATTTTAATATTTTATAGATTTCTTATTTATTTAAATGCTCTGCTTTGTTTTATTAAGTAATTTATTGAAGAGCTGTTTCTTAACTTTGTTTTTTAGCTAATGTGGCAGACTCTATGCATGTTCTTTTCTTTCTTTTTTTCTTTTTAAACTAATGTGGCAGACTCCATGCCTTTTCTTTTTTTCCTTTTTTAATATGGAATTTCTATGACTTTAAGTTTAATGCTATCAATCCTGGCTACTCTTATTATTGCAACTAAGGATGGGTATATTCAATCAAGCATTTCTTGTTTTTTTTTTCAGTTTTATAGAGGATACATGTTTCTTTGTTCTTTTATTCCATAGTTTTAATAGCAGCCTTTTTCTTTTCTTTTTTCTAGTAGTCATAATTTTGTTCATTGTTCATGGTTTTGTCCAGTGTTTCAAAACTCGTCCAAGTTATTTGGCCTTCAAATCCTGCAACAGAGGGTTTCTTATGCAAATTGGATTTGCAAATCACTTAAAGATCATAAAATTTGTTATTAAATTTCTTTTAAGTGATATATAAATATATTTCTATGTAATTTTTACATTCTTTACGATGATTTCAGAATTTTTATTTATATACTTTAACTATATATGTCCCTCAGTCCAAAACTCAATTCGATAGAATGTTTGAGTCCGAAGATGCAGTGGAATGCTTGGGCCTGCATGTCGCCTAACACGACATGCCACGTGGTAGGTAATGTCGAGCAATTCTTTTTTACGTTCTTTAAATCCCGCCATTATCAACCGATCACCAAAACAATTCTTAATTCCTTTTTTACGTTCTTTTAATTCGACATTTTCAACCGATCACCAATGCCATTTTGTAAGTTATAGACAGAGGCAAGAGGTAGAAAACTCCTCGTTCGAGAGAGAGAAGAGCCATCTGAGAAAATGGTGCATCCTCTTCAACCAAACAGAGGGAAGGCACCTATGTTCGAGGAAATTGAGGAAATCACAGGGCAGAGAAGGAATTGGAGAAGAAGAAGCTAGAATACTCGCGGTTCTACTTGCTACTCGATTCTCACAAACATGTGGAGATAGAGAAGTGGCTATACTCCGTAAGCAGCCCGAGCTCAAGAGTGAGGGGCACAGAAGTGATGACAATTCGAAGATGCACCGGATTGGACATTGAAAGTTGTTCTCAAGGCTTTTGACACAGTAGAGGAGGCGGGTCATGCACAAGTGCAGAGCATGATCAACCACCGTAGGGACGTGGTAAATGCTGAGATATACGGGAAGGTATTTCAGGTAGTTGATTTGGAGGAGGAGGAGATGGAGGAGGTGGAGAGGAAGTTCAGAGAGAAAGAGAGGATGGAGTACAAGGAGATGAAAGCGATAGCAAACAGAAATTGAAAATGTTCCTATGGTGCATATGCGGTTCCAATGTCACCTAGACCTGATGCGACCCCAGCTCCTATAGTGCATAGGGGTATCTCTCGCACATGCATAAGCTTCATCCTGAAAAGTGGTTCGCTTTCTCGAAACGGCTATCATTATGTATGACGTGTGATGGTACCTAGATGAGACTTTGTCCCCCGTCTCTGAAGGCCACCATCACACACACGGGTCTCACAATTCATCGGCTCACTCATCCAGGCATATTTCGACATCATCAAGGGATGACATATTAGAACCATTATCAGATAGTTTTTTATGCCTAGGTAATATAGGTTTTTCCTAACCGTCTGGCCTAGCTCCTCAAGCTCAGTCCGGTATCAGTAAGCATTATTTGTTTAATATAATCCACAAGGGACCATACTCCCACTGAGTTCATATTCTATTATATAAATATGTTTTATTACAAGCACTCATAAGACCTTTAATGGCCACACTCACCCAATATCTCATACTTGGCCTTTGAAGGTCTTTACATTCTATCTTCCTCACTTTCTCTCATCCTCATCACTCTCACATGTCTTACAAAAACATTAGGGGTAACCTCATTAGTCAGAGGATCTATAATCATCAGATATATAGATATATAGTTAATATCAATCTCACGACATTCATCAGGTGATAGAAGTATGGTTTTATGTGCTTGGATTTCTTATGAAAATGTAGCTCCTTTGACACGCAAATTTGTCGCAGAAAATCAAAACTGCCTCACAACGCACAGGGGTAAAAGTTAAGTTGATTAACAAATTTATAAATCCGTACGGCCTCCTTGACCACCAAACAACATGTTAGGTATCTGCCTTCATGGTGGACAAAGCTACTCTATCATGTTTTTTTAACTTTCAAGAAACTGTACCCCCTCCAAGCATAAACATATACCCATATTAGACTCGCATCATCTGGATCCACGAGATAACTTGCATCTGAATATCCCTCAATAGCTATTTCAGTTCCTCCTTTGTAAGTAAGCGCATAGTTCATGGTCCATTTTAAATATCTAAGGATTCTCTTAACCGCTCTTCAATACTCCTCTTCAGGATTGCTTTGGAATCGGCTAACCAAACTTATAACAAAAGACAAGTCAAGCCATGTTCCCATCAGGGCGTACATAAAGGACCTAACTGCGCTCATATAAGGTACTCTCTCAATGTCTCTTATATCAATATCTTCAGTATGACACATCTTATTACTAAGCTTCGTCTTTTTGTCTATTGGGGTAGATATGGGCTTACATTTATCCATATCAAACTTTTTCAGTATCCTCTTGCAGTAGGTTGCTTGGGAAAGTTGGATAGTTTTCTCTTTTTTGTTTCTTATTATCTTGATGCCCAACTCATATGAAGTTTTTCCAAGATCATTCATATCGAAGTATTGTGCTAGGAAAGTTTTCGTCTCTACTACTAGGGCAATTGAGCTACTAACAATTAGCATATCATCCACATACAAGGAAATAAAAACCGCATCACTCCCACTGATCTTTTGATAAATACAGTATTCCTCATTATTCGTAGAGAACCCGGTAAGGGCAATAGTCTCTTGAAAATTTATGTATCACTGACGCAATACTTATTTTAAGCCACAGAGGGATTTGTTAAACTTACACACTAGGGTTCCCTTTCTTTTCTTTCTCAAATCCCTCGAGTTGACTCATGTAGATTTCTTCTTCTAAATCTCTATTTAAGAATGTTCTTTTGACATCTATCTGATGTACCTCAAAATCAAAATGGGTTGCTATGGCTATAAAGATTCGGATAAATGAGAATTTGGTATCATGAGAAAATGTCTCATCATAATCTGTCACACCCCAAGAATTTACAATGCTATTATTCCTGAGATGTGACGGACAAAACATATATACATCTATTGATAGGACAAATTTACAGTGGCGAGGTCTTACAAAGTAAATGAAGAAAGCTAGCACAACAACAGTATCTTCTAAGGTTGCTCTTGACTAGCACTCAAAATGAATCCGCAGTTATCCTGAAAAATGTTTACCATATTTTGATGAGTTTGGCTACTCAGTAAGTGATCATCATAATCCTAAAAATAATCATGATTGAAAGATATCAATATTTTTCAAAATGAGATTTATTAAAAGAAATGCATCAACAGTTTCACTTTCAATAAATGCATAATTAAGTATAATCCGAGTAATTGAAATGCTTATAACACTTTTAACGGCAGTACATAATTCAAAGGATTTCACAAAATACCCTACTGGCGTCCCAAGTAGGTCACCTATATACCCCATCAGCGTCCTGATGGGTCCACTTAATCCCTATCGGCGTCCAAGATAGGTCCACTTAATCCCTGCAGGTCCACTTATACCTCACCGGCGTACCGGATGAGTCCACTTAATCCCTACCGACGTCCCAGATAGGTCCACTTATACCTCACCGGCGAATCGGATGAGTCCACTTGCATACTTAAATTATTTCTAAATCTCTTTAAACATTCGAAAGCAGCAATATCATGTACTCAACATATCACTGAAATCATTAATATGAATTTCACTTAAACCATTAACTCTCTATAACATTTAAAAAATAACCAATCAAATATTTTGGGCTCAAATTTAGAAAGGTAGCAATTTGTAAAGGCATTCTAGCATAATTGCCAATTTAATATGTATAGAAAAACTCTTATAAAAATTCAAGCATACGGAATTATCACAATTTATGGGATATCAATCTACAAATAAACATTTCACAACAATACTATAATCAATTGCAAAAATGTCAATTTTTTTAAATAATAAGGCAGTCATTTGCACATGAATTTTACAATGTCTAAATATTCAAAACAGTAGAAAGAAATATCACAATTTTACTAAAAGCAGAAATATCACATTTATTTCTAACAATAGACAAGAAAAATAAATAAATTTATTTTTCTAATTTACGGCATTCAAAATTTCTAACATAGATAAAATATCACAATTTTTATTAGAAAGATTATTTTTCAAGATAATGAGGTCACGTGTGCATAAAATTTATCGTGCCTAAAATTCATGATAATAAGCAAAAATAATTATTTCATTTCATTTTTAAAAAGAATAGATTATTTTTCGAGACAATGAGGTCAATTACACACAAAACTTATAAAATAA